ATTAGTTAATGGCACATGTACATGTATAACACAAACATGTCAAAACTTATTTTTTTTAATAAATTCTTTGACAACTATACTAATAAAAGTAAACAAACAATTTTCCAAACCAATAGGATATGCTACATGGTATATTTACTTACAAAGGTGGTAGATGAGGAGCATTTCAACAGCAACAATATCAAAATTATGTATGACATTTGCTGTCAGTTGCACAAGCACTTGAGGGTAATTTGTTAAATTTAGTTTGATTTGTTTGTGTTGCTTTTCTTTGTGTTTTGTTTTGTTTTTGTTTTTTGTTTTTTTTGTTTTTTGTTTTGGCAAAATTTTGAGTTCCATTCCTGGATTACATTTTTCTTATGAAATGTTGTATTACTTACTATTGCAGTATTTTATTGCATTTGCATTTCATTCACCTTTTTACCTTTTATTCTTGACTTTTAGAACAATAATAGATCAGATATTATGAGTAGAGTTGACCTGGCATGCCCACAGTTTCATGCCTATGCACATGGAGCAGATTGTCAGGTATTTAAAGTGATATTGATCGTGGTATGTAATTATAATGTAATTATTGTTTCCTAAAGTTCATCAGTCCTTTTTAGTCTTTCTCAATCGAGAAAGGTCCTGAATGTAACAGAATTTAAGATGACATTGCTAGAGGGGCTTAAGAAAGGATTAATTTAATTCCTTGTAACTATAAKAATACATGTAGGATCCACATTCAAAGTATATATTATTTACATATTCCATCATTATACTGATTAAAACAATTTAGTTCCTGAACCCTTAATGAACCCACACACATTGTACTAAACTAGTATATACATGTCATATTGAAGATGCGTTACAGTCCTCGACGTTTGCCTGGCTGGGGATTGTGCGATGGAGAAGTGATGGAGAGGCTCTGGTCATATCTTGGTAAATTCAAAAAGATGACCAAAGAAATGTCAAGCATACATCGTCAAGATATTCTGACAGATGCGCTCCATTTCTATTCCCTACACCAAAAGAGCAATTTAGGTTAAATTGACATTTAGTTTGTTGTGACAATATTTTACAATTAGTAATTAATATAATGCTTTTATTGCTTTTTTTTCATACTACTTATAACTTTGACACCCAATATATAATTTACAGCCTATATAGTTATTCTATTATTTTTATAGTAACAATGATTCTGCATCGACACAAAAATGCTTTGAAAGTTCAGYTGGAGGCAATGGAAACCACAAAGGAGATCCAACAAGATTATAGCTGTAAGTTCTCTGGAATGTAATGTCATTTTTTTACATTTTATGATCAACTTTCAAACATGTCTATAATATTCACGTGTTAATATGCGTGCTGATCAGTGGTTCGCAATATCAGAGAACTGAAGTTCTTTTTATAATCAAATTTATTTACTGCATTAAGTCCATGTGGTTCCATATATGTAGTGGTAAACAAACGATATGATAGGAGCAATACAAAAAATGTTCATCTTCTATTTGACTTTCATAGTTATAGCTTCCTCAGAGGTGATACAGCAGTGGTTAGAGGAAGAAAAGATGATTCTAGTGAAAAAAGATGCTCCAAAGAGTAAGCAAAATAGCCTGTACTAATATGCAGCAGGTTGCCCATTATAATTAACATATAATGTATAATAATATACCTGTGATATTTTTGTAGTTACATTCCAAGGACATGAATGGATGGTCGAGTATTTCCTGTTGTTACGCAAATTTTATGCTTTAAGGTACCACTTATTGGGGTWTATAAATCAAGGAGGAGCTAGAGTAAAATGATATGATTTGTTAAATAACTCATTTTTTTGCTGTAGGGAAAATGTTATTCTGCTTCAGGATGATGAATCCTGCGACAATCAAATGAAAAAGTAGGCAATACATTGCTAAAAGTTATTTTACAACACTGAACAATGTATGAACAATGTATTTTATTACCTTCTATATCCATCTTTGCAGGCTAGTAGACCAACTGCTCACTATTGAAAAGAGGCATAAAATCCCCACGAGATGGAAATCATCAGATCAAGAGTTCCAGAATACACTTGTTGCTCATGAAGCAGCATCTGCAAAAACTAATCTTGAGCTGCTTCTCATGAGCGGCCGTAGGAGATGGTTTCTCTTGAGCCTAGTGAAGAAATATGCAGGTATTTAAACTGTCGTGTATGACAATGATAGATCCTAATATGAATAATATAAATACTATTTCATTATTATAAAAACTTCATTTTAGTCTTAAATGCATTATTTATAATTGGTTATTAATAATGTCATTTTTTATAGATGGGCAAGCCCAGGCTTATCGCATCTTGAAGGCTGTCACTAATGAGACCAAGAAGCTGAAAAATCTTCTCAAGAAATATAATGCATCTGTAMAGATACTGAAGGAACATGGACGTTCTGTTAGCACTCTTTCTTGGGAGGAAGTGACAAATGTTGYCAGYTCCTCCTTATACAGTGGTTTAGCCAATATTGGGGACCACAAACTTGTGCCAGATGCCATAAAGAGGGAAGTTGTTGATGCGTACAATCTTTGCCAAAGGGCTGGTGAAGAACTGGRTATTTTGTACCAAGAAATGTCCAGAGTCATTGTCTTTTTTTATGAAGACTGCAAGTTATTGGAAAGAAAAATTGCAGAAGTAACACTTTTAAATGGCTCTTGCAGTGGTCTTCATTTAGGTGYTAGAAGTGTTCTCTTAACCAAATTAGCTTTCTGCCAACAACATCTGCTGTTTGCAGTTGAATCATTTAAAACCTTTGTAGCAATTCCAACAGATATTGATGATTACCTSAAAATTAATAGTGATTCTATTAACATTTCTTGTTGTGAGACAAGTGAGAATGATGAATTTGATTTACTGGAAGATGTGATTTCACCTGAGGAAATATTTAAAATTGACAATAATAATGAAAAGGATGATTACCTCTTTGGTGGTGATGAAGACAGTGGATTTGGATCTACTTGCATGTGACCATTAGACATACGTTCGATTAACTCCAAAAAAGATGATTTAGAAAGCAATGTCATGTTATGGAACAATGATGCTATGTAAGCATTATCTTATCATTATTTATTTTGTTGGGCTTGCAAGCTCATTTTAATAAAAAGTTTTCTAAAAACAGAGACTATATTTATTCACTGTGTTTCTGCCTTCTTCTTTAACATACTTACAATTCCAGTAGTTACTGAGTTACAAAACTCCTTACTATTCACAGTAACTACTGGGAAATAAGATGAAAAACTTTACAATTCCAGTAGTTACTGAGTTACAAAAGTCCTGTACTATTCACAGTAACTACTGTGATACAAAATGAAAAACTTTACAATTCCAGTAGTTACTGAGTTACAAAAGTCCTGTACTATTCACAGTAACTACTGTGATACAAAATGAAAAACTTTACAATTCCAGTAGTTACTGAGTTAGAAAAGTCCTGTACTATTCACAGTAAGTACTGGGCTACAAGATAAACGTTTATATTTCCAGTAGTTACTGAGTTACRAATGTGATTAGAAATCCAGTAGTTAATGTAATCATCGAGTTACAACTTTTAGGGCTCGCCCAATTCCGAGAGTCAGTACGTTGTATTGACTAATTATTGAATAGGGATGACGGTCAAGCTTATATAAGTGCTTTATCTTGAACTGACCAAACCTTGTTTAATCAAATGCTGAATGTATTTCAGATATTATCTTTACATAAAAATTTGCCCCTTTTCAATTCAAATTGATTCGTGATCTTGCCAGTATTATCAGTATTATGGACATTTATTGATCTCCCAAAAGTCCAGAAGGACAATCATGCAATCATGGTTTCAGTCCTTTACATTCAACGCATTCAGTTTTTTTTTAAACAATCAAAAGGATATTTTTAGACGGGTTCTTGTGTTGAAAAAGTTTATAACTACCAAATGAATTATCAAAAATAGTGCGCCCCATTCAGTATTCTCTGTAAAGAGCACGCACTGTACGGGGGTGCGTGATGGTAATAAGAACACCAGAGAAAGCTTGGGCGGCGCTACTGCATTGTATCAAGCAGCAAAATGCTGCAGCTAGACTTGTAACTTACTCTCGCAAATATGCGCATATCACTCCCATTCTTTGTAACCTGCATTGSTTGCCCGTTGAACRGCGWATTCAATATAAAATACTTTTAATCACTTTTAAAGTTTTACATGAAAATACTCCTTCTTATCTTTCAAATCTTCTGCATCCGTATGTACCCTCACGCTCTTTAAGATCTTCTTCGTCTAATCTTTTAGTTAAACCTTCTTTTAATCTTAAGCTCTATGGCAAAAGGGCATTTTCGTTCTCTAGTCCTGAATTGTGGAACTCACTACCAAGTGATATCAGATCTATCTCTTGTTTATCAAATTTTAAAAAAGCTTTAAAGACCTGGCCTTTTTCTGCAGGCATATTAATTCCTTTTTAAGTATTTTATAAGATATAAATTTAAGATCTGTTTTTTATATTTATATATTCTAAATACGTATATGTTGAAATTTTAAAAAAGTATCAAAAAAAGTATTAGTATTGAAGTCAATGTCATTATTATTGTTATATTGCTTACTTTTTTACAAGTTTTATTGTTATTCAATTCTTATTACTGTAAAGCGCATATGAACTTATGGATATTTGCGCTATATAAATAGCACATTATTATTATTATTATTATTATTATTATTATTATTATTATTATTA